TTTTTTTTTTTTTTTTTTTTTTGTACCAGGGATCGAACTCAGGCCCTTGTGCTTGCGAGGCAGGCGGCGGAACCACTGAGCTGAATCTCTGGCATACACCAGTAATTTTTAAGTTTTGAAAGAGAAAAGAGTCAAGAGGGAAGGTTTTTGAAACTGAGATGTCTCTTTCCTTCCCTCTTTCTGTGATGGAGAGGCGCTGTCAGTGGCCTTTCTCTCCCCGGTCCCTTCCTCCCGCCACACTGGGAAGGGCTGCAATGAAGACAGGATGGTGGGAGAAGAGGGAGGAGAAGCCACCTTTGGATTTCACAAGCTCAGCACAGCTGGACGGTTTGTGTTGGACACATGGGCTTGGCCTTTGCGTGTAGCCCTGCCTAACTGTAGCAGGTGGTATATTTATTTTCATGCTCAACAATTGCATTTTTAATGGCAATGGCTTGGTCTTCTAATTGTTTCAGTCGATTAGCTTTTTCTCATCTATTTATTTTCAAATCTTGTATCTTCTTTTCTAAATCTGGAAGAAGGATGTGGAAGAAATTATCTACATTGCAGTGTTAGGTTCCTCTTAGATACCCGCATTATACTGAGCACAGAGTCTGCGTCTCTCAGAGATACACTTAGTTTTGTGCTTTGATAGAATGGATAGAACATCTCTTTTCACCAGACTTCTTCTGTTTCACATAAATCAGAGGAAGTTGCTGTATTTGTCTAAAAATTTTTATATCTAAAGGCACTTTAAAATGTAAGGCTGTAGCTGGTTAGAATTTATTAGGTATGAAAAGACACATCGCAGCCTTGATTGGATTTGAAGTATCACATCTCGAAAGGTTTATTCTTAAATATTTTAACTTCATTGTAAACATGTGCTAGTCACTTTACAGTTTTCCAATTTTTAGAAAAGAATACTGACGTTTTAATTTCTTTAATTCTTTTTCCTTTTTGACATTGATGCCCTTGAACAGTAAAAGCAAAGTAAGGCCTGTCTCTGGTTTCTAAACATTGAGCTACGGACGTATCCTTCCATCCGCCCTCCTATCCCTCTACTCATTCTTCATTCAACAATATCTTGTAATTCCTTTGAGAAATAGTCCATAGAAATATGGACAGAAGAGGAGTACAGTTTAAAGAGGACTTAAAAAAAGAAAAAAAGAAACCTACAGTTGCTGAACGTGGTGGCACACACCTGTAATCCCAGCACTTGGGAGGCTGAGGCAGGAGGATCACTGTGAGTTCAAGACCAGCCTGGGCTACATAGTGAGTTCCAGGTCAGTCTCAACTACACAGTGAGACCCTGTCTCAAAAAACAAAACAAAACAAAACAAACAAAAAAAGCTACAGTTAACAGTGTGAGGTAGCCTTTTAGAAACTCTGACATCAGGCAGGAATGGACCTTCTAGAAGAAGGAAAGTAAATGTCCCAGTTCACTTGGATCACTGAGCAGATGTGAAGTAACCATAAAATGGGCACACACCCCGAGGAAAGGCTGGAGTGCTGCAGAAGGGTGAAGCTGTCCTCTGAGCATACCGTAAAGGTGATGTTTTGTACGCGGAAAGGAAACTTCAGCACACATGACGTGGCTGTTTTCAATATCTGAGAGAACAGCTTAGAGAAACAGTGAATATATTCTCCAGCATCCCAAGGAAACAAAACAAAGCCAGCAGACAAAAGCTCGATAAGGGGAGATTTTGTCTGATTGTAAAGAGGAACTTTCTCGTGATCACAGCTAGGCAAAGACTAAAGAGCTGCTGTGGGAGGTTGTGAACGTTCTTTTACCAGGGACTCAGTGGAGGCCATTTGGGGTTGAAAAGGGGATTCATCACTGGGAGGATATTTAAAGCAAAAGCGAAAGACCCCTAGTTTCCCCCAGGTAAGATAATGTGATCAAGCTGGCTGCTTCTCATTCCTCACCAGATCTGTCCTCCATCCTGAGTCCTGGAAGGCCAACCTCCCGGGAAGCACCATAGTTCCCTTGTGATCTGGCTGTCCTCACCCTTGGCTGCCAGTGGTGGGAGACGGGGGAGGGTGGAGCCCACTCCATCCCTGTTCCCCACAGGCTTCCGGCAGGGCTTTGGTCTCTGGGCTCCAGCTCCGGCGGGAGCCTCTTCCCTCAGAGCCCCAGTGACAATGCTGCTTCCCCTGTCCCTTCAGGCTGAGGGCAACAATGACTCGCACTCTGCTGGTTCTCCAGTGCATACTCGTGCATTCTTCGGGTCCCATCAGGAAGCGGATCTATTTGTCCTCCCCCACTCCCACCACCCAGGACCTGGGCTGGCTGGACAAGTTGTTCTGACCAGTGTAGGGACTGGAAGAAACGGTGCTGCAGGGCGTCAGGCCCGTGTCACCGGTTCTCACCTCCAGGGGAAACTTAAGCATCCACCCCCGGAAGTAGCCTGGGGTAGTCGGCCCTGTGGACACACCCACATCTCCGGGGGTCCCTGGCAGACCAGGAGGGTGACCCACAGGCTGAGCAGAACTTGTGTAACCCCGGGGGACCCGCAGAACAGGCACCCAGGCAACCCACTGCAAACAAAGACATGGTCATTGTCGTAAGACATCGATTTTAGGGTGGCTTTTTATGCAGTGAACAGATAGGGGCACCCCCATGTGTCAACTGTCCAGAACCATGGCTCAGTATGCTTTTTGCCTCTTGCTGGGATTCTGACAGACACGGCCCTGGGGGACTCTTGCTGTGGCTGGGGTCTCACTGGGAACCTGGGGGGCATCTCTTCCTTTTAAATGTTCTGTTCCTTCTCAAGTGGCAGAGGAAGACAGACATCTCAATGACTTCTTTTTCTACCATACTGAGTTGTGTGAACAGCCTTAAACTGAAGAGAGAAAAAGAAATGGGATACACTCTGCCTCTAATGGAAACTTCTCTTCTGATCTAATTTCATGAACTATAAATTTCAGTCAACACGGATGAGGAAAAATAATTTGGACACCGACGTAACTTAGGACAGAGAGAGTCTTCCTAGGATTTTGGTCCTATAGGGAGGACCAAGGTCTGAGAATAATAGAAACTGATATTTGCAGTATTGGCTGCTTTTCTAACTCTTTCCTAATATTTTCTTTAAAAAAATATTTAGAGGGCTGGGGATTTAGCTCAGTGGTTCCGCTGCCTGACTCACAAGTGCAAGGACCTGAGTTTGATCTCTGGTACCAAAAAAAAAAAAAAAAAAAAAAAAAAAAAAT